GCCCGTTACTCGAGATATCTCGATCCAGCGAAAGATCGAAATTTGGGTCATCTGATTGGTCAGCATGACTGAGAACGAGTCTCGCCACCGGCTCCCTGCCTTTATTCCTCGATTTTCCGCGAGTCTCTTTATTTCTAGGCCCATTGTGGGACTTCCATTGTCCAGGATGATGGGGCCACTTTCCGGGAGGGGGGCACTTAATGTGTATCCAGCAGCGAAATTAATAGCCCGACATCGAGACCAATCGAAGCCACATAGACGGGCCGACACTCCATATACCGTAAAAGTGGAAAGTCGCTCGCGGCGACGACGCACGTCGACGGAAAACGCATCGTGAGAAAAAGTCCCGGAAATATGTAGAGAGGCCCGATGACCTCCCTCTTCCTTATAGGTTAGCACCGAAGGAACGGCGATCGCACGACCTGGACATTCCTCCGCCCATTTTGGCGACGGTAGGTGTTACAAAATCTCCATTCGGCAAATCGCTCGACACTCGCCGACCGGATAATCGGCTGAAACCCCGGGAAAATAGGAAAGACCGGGATCGACTAGGAAAACGTTGAATTTTCCCGTACCCTCATAGAAGACATCCCTCAGCGAGCGTACACATTGTCAAAAAGAAATTTATAACACCTTTGATGGAAGTCATATTCAGACACGGTATACTAACTATACAACATAGTTTCAAATAAAATATATAACACGTGTCATATAAATTTATTACACCCATGACGGGCCGATCATTTCGACTCTGTTCATACGACGCTCCTCTCTCGGGTCTTCGCAGACGGAGACTTTCTAAGCGTACCTTATTCCGCGATAGAGGCACTACCATCCCTCGGAGAACCCGGGCATACAATTAGCGCGACTCCTCGAGGCGTCGAAGCCTTTGCAATTACTTGCTTATTATGGTTGGCCTGGGATTGCACGGGATTGCGAGAGAGCCGGGCCCGATCGAGACTCGGTGGATCCGGCTGGTCCGGATGCTGCCCTGGATACCCAAGAGATGCGCTCTTCCGCGAGATACTAGGAGACATGTCAGAAAAATCGTGGATCCTAATGCTCGGTATCGCGCACCAATCAGCCGGGAATCGCAAATAGACATCCCAGGTGATCGTTCGATACCACCGAAAAAATTACTTTCACTGATTTTCAAGCGAGTAGCCCTCTCTCCCCGAGAGACAAATCGCCGAGATGCGAGCCTCTCGAAGAGTGGTCCAGCAGGGATGCTGAGATCCTTCGATAGCCTACGATGCAGCCGCTCTCTCGCGGTTGCATCCTGGTGCACGCAATGTGCAACCGGGACTGACCGGCGCAAGAGCGGCTCGTCCGAATGAAGAATCGAGCTAATCGCGGATCGCGAATCGCAAGCGAGATGACACAACCGCGGACATTAAACTGGAGAACGGAAAGGGGAGAGCGAGAAGTCCCACCGAGATCATGTCCGAACGTTTCCACCGAAAATTATGCAAAATGTGAATTTTAATATAAACTGCGTATATGACAAACGCTGCGTTATGTGTATATATATTTTTTTTTTTAATACTCCCGGGCTGTCGAATGAGATTGGACACCTGCTGGATCCTATCGATCCTATCTAGCACCTATCGGTGGTACACGGAACGTGTTAAAAAGAGTTACGAGATGCAAGGATGGGAGGGAAAAGTACAGGATGTAAAAACGCGGGGAAACTAGAGGCCTGTAGGAGCAGCGGCTCCTAAAGGGGGTTTCCTCGTTTCCGTCGGTGATTCTCTTTTTGAAGTTAATTGAGTTCAGGGTCAAGCACGACGAGGCGACGCAGTTGCAAAACCGGAGCGGCCTTAACGATCGTTCGCGCGGCGGTGAATAATTACCTGGGGGAAAATTCGTAAGAACTGAGAGTACCCGGGATGCCACGAGGTTTCGACATTTCCCTCCGACTTTGTAACTGGACTAAGGACGAGCCCGCCGCACCGTTAACGAAAGTACCTCCCAATTTCCTAACGATTTTCTTTTTGGCGAGTCTCACGTTCAAAATTCAAACGTAATTGTTATGAAATTTTGCATTCATTTGTATATCTTGCCGCAAGTCCATGGATTTCGTGAACATTTCTAACAGGGATCGTATTTTCAAGGGGGCAGAATCAGAACATCCGACTATCGGAACGTCTTGTCCCTCATTGTCAGATTTATTTTCAATTAAATCCGAGCGTGATTTATATATATTTTTTTTTTTCACTTCATTTGTTTGCGGAAACTGGGATTTCTAGCACGATGGAAGTCGGATTTATTTTCTATGGTCAGGCGGGAATAAAGTTATCATCCGTCCGAGATGAAAGTGCGTGAGTCAGGCTCGCGCCCTCGTAGGTGGAACTCGCGTTCCGATGGCGATCGTGGCCGCTATTTTAATCTTAATCGCCTAGCCGGGTCGTGCTCGGGGAGCGAACTCGTAAAACCGTGCGTGATTTACTTTTCTTCCACCTCGGAGAACCCGCCGATAGAGCTCCTCGAGTTGCCTTAAGGGGTTAAGGTGGTACGAAAGTGAGGGATAACCTCGGAACCGCGTGCACCGAATCGCCCGACATTACCCCACATTATTTCGAACCTTACAATGTGAATATGGAGGCTTTAAGGAAGGTCCTTACACCCATGAAATTTCAATGTTTTTAACCTTTCTTCATAGGTAAACTTTGTGAAGTTTCAAGCAATTCGGTACACTCAGTACGGAGGAAAGTTTCATAAACCAGACCTCTTTGACGGCACTTTCACATCCCCTTAAAAATTCATACACTTTCGTAACGTCAAATTACCCTGAAATGTATCCTCACGTAATGAAATTCATCCCCATGAATTAACGGAAAATTATGCACGTAGCAGAAAAGGAATTGGAATAAATTGACGGTTAATTCTTTGCTTGAGGAGTACTTTCCGCGGCAGGAAGGAAAATCGCGGATCGGGGGGAGCATTACGTCGGTATAAACCATTACACTGTAATCTCAGGGGTTTTATGTACTATCTCCGGGTTTGTCGATCGGCACTAACCGGATCGAATTCCGGGCCGGAAGTCGGTCCGAGTGCCGGCCCGATCGAGAAGATGGATGGAAAGTTCCGAGGGAATTGCCTGGAAGTGCCCTGCGGACCGATCGCGGATTTCTCTGCGGCGTAAACGGTGGTAGTTCTGGCCGCGCGGGCTTCCGCCACCGGTTTTTCGTCCGTTTTATTAAAATCCGCTCGGGTTTATACACCGAGCCGCGGTATAGACGGGATAAATCCGCGAAAAAGAGCGGGCCGCGTTTCGTGGACGGCCGATCCGTCTCTCGCGGGAGATCGACTTTCATCGAGCTCGATATAAGACTCCCGACGAGGGACCTACTTTCCTGATAACGATTTAAGGCGACACGAAAGTGGAGTCCAAGGGTTCAATCATCCATTAAACGCATCTCTGAATCGTAATTACAGAAACGTTACAAATTCACCGCGTTAACCCGCTTACCCTAAGGAAGGTCCTCCTTAAATTGAACATCTTACCCAAAATTAAAAATTACAAAAAAAAAATTAATAAAAATTATACAATTAAAAGATTCGAGATCTTATCAAATCCACGTCTGTCAGGACCTCCCTTAAGGACCCCGTGTTCACCTGGCAAAGTTTCAAAGCGAACCTAATGCGAATTTACGACCGATTCGCGGGACATTTGTCCGACATCGACACCGGCGTCCAATTTACGGGATCGATAAGGATCATCGGCGATCCGATAAGGGGCCGACTTCTTCCCGGGCCCGAGTGATAGGGCCCCATTTCTCCTAAGCGGCGCAATGGACCGAGACCGAGGTGTCCCTGAATCGATTCGGGCCCCATAATTCACGGCTAATCGGGTATCGCAAATCGGGGCCCCGCTCGCGTTTCCGCGAAAAAAACCGCGAACCGGAGCGACTTTCTTCTCTCCTCTTTCCTTTCGGAGAGGCGACTCGCGTGTCGGTCCCACCGAGCGTGTCGATAGGGCCCTATGAAAAATCCTTAACAAACTTGTATAGACGTAAGACCCCGGGTCGAAGGTGGCCGTCACTTCCCCCTGGATCCCGATTACGAAACCGCCCATTCCGATTATACGAGCGCGTTATTTTATTATTAAATGTGGCATTTCAGCGGGATTCTTTATCGCGATGGGAATACCACGAAACGATGTTATCGGCCTTAAGGAGAGTGCTTATTAGAGCCCCGGTGGCGAAATCGCGTACACGTCAGCCTTCGGGAGCCGTCGATACCTCCCTCGAATCGATATCGACGATATCAAGTCCCCTATCGATGTTTTGAGCGGTCGCTCTCATAGCCGTCGATTATTAATCTCTTGACAATAAATCATTTTCTGGTTTACTCCGTACTAAGGGGTGTAGGGAAAAAAAAAAGAAATATACCCCACCGTCTTTGAAGGTCCGTTCTAGAGAAACCGTAAATTTGAGGTCGAGAAAATGAAATCGGCGCACGTTTATTTTATAATTCCCGATTAATCATTTAATGATATCGTGAAATTATTGGAGGGAAGTCAATACGATTGCGTACTAAATTTTCGGTAGATGTTTATACAACGTACATTAACCATGAAAATGATATAAAATCGTATTAAATTCTCTCTATACCATGAAAATGATATAAAGTCGTATTAATTTCTACCGGTTAATTATTTCTATTGTCTCGAATTCTGGGGGGATCGACGATGTCGGACGGGTCTGCCTTTGAAGCGAGCGCGTCCAGAATCCCCTTCCAGAAGAGGCGCTTTCCTGCGCACGTATAAAGCCAGTGAAAGCGCCTCGCGGCCCTCCAGACAGGCGCAGAGTCCGACAGCGACAGGAGCTCTGCCGACATTCGGTCCTCTAGACCTCGACGATCCTCTGCGAGGCCGACCGTGCACCGTTCGAAGTTCCTCCCGGAGTAACCCCAAGGACCCCCACCAAGGACCTCCGAAATCCCCCGAAAAGCTCTCCCGAAAAATCCGTGCATCTCTCGATTTGGGATAACAAGGAGTGACCATGAAGATCCTCGCAGCCTCGGTCTCGATCCTCCTCGTCCTGGCCGCCAGGACCCTGGGCTATCCTCAGCAGGAGAGACTCATGCCAGGTGTGTGGACCTTCCAGTTTAGCCGATTTTCTTTCCGTCCCTCGCGTTTTCCCTCTTCGGGGTGATCCTCCAGTTCCGCGGATGTGACGTGACGAGATATACCGGAAGTGAACCGTGGTGGATGAACGAAGAGTCTCTATTGGGTTCCTCGGTTCGACCATGACTTGATTTTCTCTGACCGAGATTGGCCGAAATTTTGTACTCGCTTCGAGCTTATAATTGAAGGCCTTAGATGGGCTGTCAGGTTATATACAGAATTTGTACAACAATTTGCAAGAAATTTCCGGCCCTTGAAATCGTCGAGCCCTCCCCAGTCGCGTTATCCCTCTTCGGGGTGATCTTCGAGTTCCTCCCATGTGACGTGCAGAGAATCCGAAAGTGAATCGAGCTGGATGGATAAGTAATTGCCCATTTTTTTTTTCTTTTTATTTAATCGGGACATAATTCGTGTTAAGTGCGTAATAAAAATTCGAAGCGGGGGAGATAGGACCAAAAGAGGACTCGCAATGTTCATTATTCTCGAATTCTAAGCCGGTAACGACGTTGGCAAACAAAGCAAAGACGTAATTTATGATAGAAAAAAAAAATAGAAAAAATGACTCGATGCCTCTCAGAGTCTGTCCGAGGAGGAAGGAGGGCGCACTCTCGGCAGTTCTCAGTTTGCTCTTGCAAAAAGCGGACTCTCCTAAGGAGATCTCTCTCTCTCTCCTCCTTCGGGGAGTTACGAGCGGCCCGAGATTCCCGGGTAGTGTATCGGCCGCGAATTGCCCGTAAATTGGATAATTTATCGTTACAACGGCGATTAGTGCGGCTCGCACTGACACCGCCGAGTAAACAAACGCGGCATTTCCTCCCCGGCTCCTTTTTACCTCGAAACTCGAATCCCCGTCGCGATTTAAACGCCGTTACCGTAGTACGCGCGCATATCACCAGTTCGTCTTATCGGTACCGGGATAGCGTGTTCTCTGGCCCGGATAATTCCTTCTCCGGGGTCGAGGAACGCATGCGCGAACGCAGGCTACCGATTTTTCCGGGCCCTCGTAAGAACAAGCGATTTGTAATCATTTATTCCGGAGAACCGGGCCAATAGCGGGAAACTGTGCAGCAGTCCCACATTCTCGGCACTCGGATTTATGCAAATGAAAATGACCCCCTTGCCAAACCGAGGCCGATTACACGGCTCTATTCCGTCGGGGTCTCCGCACCAGCAGGAAAAACGCCCCTTGGATTGGGCCTTTATTTCAATTTCATATTATTTCTATATTTCTCCCTTGTCACTCCGTTTCTCCTCCCATGGCGCGACGCGACTGCGGAGAAAAACCAATCGCGTGGGCTGATTCGTAATTTGTTTGTAGGAATAATTCGTAAAAGAATAAAAATAACGTATAGACATGCAAATTGAGCCTCGCGGAATTCCGCCTGGTTATTACCTCGGGCACTTGGAGTACTTGAAGTGCTTTTTGCCTCCCTTTTCCTCATTACTTTGCCGCTATTATTCGGGACAGTTTAGTTTATCCAGCCATAACACTTCATTTTTGCAACCACATCGATTATTAGTTTATTAATGAATCTCAGTACCGATATCGATCCCTACCTTCAGGCGTCCCCATCCTCGCGTAGGACGTATCAATTAACTGAAGGAATTAATTAAAAAGTAATATGAACACGCGAATCGAGAGATTGGCGGAATTCCATCCCGCGTAGGAACGGTTATTACCTCGAGTACTCTAAGTGCCGTGATTAACCGCTCGCCAGAGGCAGTGCCTTTTGTCTCGCGTTTCCCGTCGATTGCGACCCACGGGGTCCTTCCACCACCTCCATATATCCCCATCCTTGCCCAGGATGTCGATCTCTCTCCCCCGAGAAAGCGGATAATCCCCGGAGAAGCGCATTTAAATAATTCCCCGGAGTTTTATGCCCGCCGAGCGGGCTTAATAATTCTCACCGGGTTTTCTTTTATAAATCACGGCGAATGCGAGCGGACGCCATAACCTATCCGAGGCACTCCTTGTAATTCGAGGTTACGATCCAGCTCGACCGGGATAAATAAAATCTTCCGGGCCTGCAACTCATCCAGATGCATTCGGGATCGGTTCCGCACCTCCGCCAAGATACGCCTTCCCGACGAGAAGCCGATCCCCGTCAATATTTATTGTTTTAATTGTGAATTATTTCTTCAGAATTTATATCCCTCCCTTAATTCCCCGATATACCATCGAATAAAAAAAAAAAAAACAAAAAAACCATTTCCAAGGTCTCGCAATTTTGCTCGATATTATTAATCACCCTGTACAAATATTTCGCGTCCCGTAAATATTGAATTCGCCATATCAATGCAATTTAGGATCTACTTCAATTACAATAATGTCCTTTTCTAGAAAAATATACGTATATATGACTTAGGTTATGTTCGTAATCATCGGCAGGTATTAAAATTGGATATTCGGACAAGTTAAACCGTTTGCATAAATTCAGTATTAAAGAAATACTTAGAATGCAGTATATACATATGAAGTTTATTAATATTATTCAGTTATTGCTCGTTACCTGGGTGTATCGTAAAACGTATCGATTCCGGATGAGGATCGTCGACCGTTGGGGAGGGGAGGTCCTGCTCGCTGCACGGCTCGCCGAGGAGTGGGGCACTCGGGGATCACGTGCGGCACGTGATCCCGCGGCCTCCGAGCCAATGCGGGTGCCTGTTTCCGCCGGGCCGGCACAGGGGAAAGAGAAGGGCGCGCCAGAAGCGGGCCGCCCGCGGGAGCGAGAGAGAGGCGGCGAGGCGCCGGGGCGGTAGTGCGACGGAGAGGGAGATACCTCTACGCGCCGGCTCGAGACCGGGGAGAAAGAGGAGACATCGAATGCCAGAGAAACGTGTGACCGCGTCACGTGTGCACGTGAATCGCCCCGCCGGCTCGATTCACCCGCCGGGTCGTCACCAGTCAATTAGCGGCTTTGGGATCAATGGGTTTACGCAAACCCGGACTCGTGGGCGCCATTTACGCTGCGCGCGCATCCTCAACATGGCCCCCGGCTCGGCCGAAAAAGGAGAGATCGGTCGCATCCTCGACATTCGTACGAGAAACAGGAATCCGGCATAGACGGCATTACTACGAGAGGGCATACATAGAGGTACATAAATCTTCACTCCGTTCCCTGATTAAATAAACCCGTGGCAATAAAACGGTAAGAGAATAAGACTCAGAATGTGCATTATTGACATTGGATGAAGTTCCGAAATACGACGGGAACTTTTTTAATGAAATCTTCAAGGTCTCGAGTACGGTCACTTTTGAGGTTATGGGAGGCTTTGAATTTCTCTAAGAAAATTCATGGACCCGCGTAGTTTCAAATTAATACCAGGTATGCGCTTTTCGGAGCTTCACCCTTAACCCTTTGGCTACTAAGAGCGCATAAAGGCGCCCGACTTTTGGTCCAATATTGCCCGCACGGTCAGAGGAATTTCGCCCGTATGTCGAAATGGCGCCGTGTTCGAGGGGTTAATATGTATGTATAATATTGGACAAATTTCAGTGCAGAGGTTTTTCTCGCCGTTTCATCTCGCGTTTCACCTCATCGGGCCGATCTCGTTAAAGGGACTTAATTAGAAGTCTTGTGGATTTTCTCCAAGACGCCTCTTAAGGAACAGCCCCGGTTAGGAACGATCCGAGGAATTCCCCAGCGTAAGAAACGTCTTAACTAACTCCTCGGTGCGAGAGATTTAGTTTTCTTTCCTCCCTCCTTTTCTTTTTCTTTTTTTTTTTTTTTCATTTTAATCCTATGCTCTCTGCGCGGTCTCGCGGGACTCGCGCCCGGCTAGTGCCGTGTCTCTTGGACATGTCCAATTTCACGCGTGAACAGTCCGTGTTTGTCCCCGTGTCGATAGCTGCTAAAAGACAGATACATAGCCGAGATCACGACGGGGTCGCGTAATCCCTGATCGATACCGATTCGATCGATCCGCGAGTCGGCGCGCACGCGCGTTGGGGCTTTCCGCCGCACGGCGAAACCTTAGACCATAAATATCGAGACTCGTATAACAGTGGAAGGGGTAAACGAATCTACCACGTGGACCACGTATGTCCACCTGCGTGGAAGGGGTAAACGAATCAACCACGTGTCCCGACGACTACACACAGAATTTTGCCGAATATTTCGAGGATTTTCCTGGATTATTTGGGAAATAATTTAGTAGGACGGTTTTAGAGGCGGAAATGTTGATTTAACAATTTATTTCTTTTTTTTCTTTTTTTTTCGGGAGAGTGAGGGGGTCCGCGGTTCATTCCGATTGGCTGGAAATCTCGCCGCGCGGGGACTGATTTAAACATCAACTTTCTACGGCGCGGGCCCAATGTTTATTAGTGTCACCGTCGTGAATTTACAGCGAGGCTCTATGTTAATGCCAGCCCCTAGAGGGGGCCGCTCGATTCTACCCGAGCAATTAACATTGTTGACCCGTCGCCATTAAAATCGGCGCGCTGATTTATCGGTTCTTTTGGCGTGCCCGTCGGTTTCGAGTGCCCCTTTACGCCGGGGGGCCGTTTCCGCCGAAGCGGGGAAATTATTCCGGGCCCCCTGGCGACGAGGGGCGATCTCGACATTCCTGGCCTCTCCAGAATTTACCCTCAAGGGCTCTTGCCATTCTCTGCCGTTCCCGAGGGTACTTATTCATCTTTGGACCCACGGAAATTCGGAATCGATCATTTAAGCCGATAGAAAAACAACGATCATTATTTCAGGTCATTGTGTCAGTACCTTCCTTAGGGCTTCCCAATTCATGTTATCGAATTTCAAACCATTCGATATTTTAAGGGAGAGAGAGAAAAATGCTAAGAAAAGTCTCGCTTTCTTATCGCCTTAATTTCCTTTTTTTCCGTATCTACGGGTCTCGTGCGGCGCGTTCTCCGCGAGTGCGGTCGACGTCCGCGGTTTTAACGCGCATGCGATCTCGGCCTCTCGTGCCGGTTTATGCAGAATTCACGTGCACGAGAGCGTGGAGG